AACCAAGTGGAGAATAACGCGCATGAAGATTTTATTACGTTAATGTTAACACAGATACGAAATTCGTAGAAGTTTACTCTATTTCTAGTGCTTGATCGTAGTCGATGAAATATATCGATGAACAAATGAGAAAGAAAAGGCGTATCGTAAATAAGCTGTAAAACAAAGGAAATAAAGGGATAATGAAGGTGAGGTAAGCTTCCGGTATTTAAATTTTAATTAAAATAAAGGAAGCAGGACATTCTTATGGACTTTTTATTCAATTATAGTTATGATAAACGTCAAATGTTTTGTTAAGTTTGAATTATTTTAGTAGGTTTACTGACTTTTATTATGTATCATCTTTCTTAAAATGTATTTCTTAGAATTTGTTGTGTTCGCTTGTTTTCTTATATAAGCAATTCTAAATATTTAAATAGTTTTCAGCAACGGCTTTCGTTAATTCTTCGACGTAATTCACGTCGTCGTTTTCAAATTTTTGGAAATGAACGTCTTCGTACAACGGAAGTTGCAGCAATGTTTATGTTACTTTCGGCAGAAGAAAGTCTGTTGTGTAATCTTTTTTTAGTCTTTTATTCTGAACACCATTCCTAAGTTCGAGTTCGCAATGCTAACAAATAGTATGACATGAGGGAAGTATCAGTTTTTCCTTGTCTTTATGGGCAATGAGACTGCCTTCATTGGTGTCATTTTCTGTTTCTTTGCATTAGAATTAAAACAGGCAGTATCGAAATGTACACTGCATATGGCGCTGTATTTCGTCCGAATCCATGCTTCATCGTTACGAACTGCTTTTACCCACTTTCTCTTCCGAGAAGGGTCACTGGGAAATCTGAAAATTCGTGTAATTTATGTGTTTAAATATTTTAAGTACAGATAATAATTATAATTTTTGCATTTATAATGTTTTTATTTAATTATAAAAATTATTATTATAAATTTAATGACATCAGAGTGTAGGATACTGTTATATAAGTATTTTAAGGGTTATTGTATTGTACAAATTAATAACGTCATCATTCATTCGGTCATATCGTCAAATATCTATATATTTTTCGACACGGTCAAGCAATAGTCGATGTCAAATTGACTCACTCCACAGTTTTAGTCACTCGTTCTGAATGGTATAATCCAGCCATTTTGTGATGGTTGTCAGATATCAAAAAGACATAGAAATATCGACTATATTTAACATAGTTGGATAATACAAAATTTTATTTTACATTTGATTAATTTTTGTGATAAATAACCATAAATGTAATAAAATATTGTACTTACAAGTGAAAAGAAATAGTGCTGCTTCCGCCGCTATAGTTTTTACACCATTCAACTGAACATTTAGTCATTTTTGGGAGATGTTTTGTTGACAAGTAAATGACTGACGACGCAAAAATAAACGACCAAGGCTAGAATTTTTTGGTTACTGACAAGACCGGTATAGGTAAGTACGCTTATATGTCGGGTCCAGTGGTTAATTCGTTCAAGGAATAGGCTTTTGTTAAGCTAAATCAGTGCGTTTTACCATCTTCAACTGTATCAACATACTTACTTTTTGTAACTTTTTGTAAGTGTGGTTTTGTGTGTTTGTTCATTAAAAAAATGTTTAGTCTAAATTGTGTTAATAATTATCCACAATATGTTAGTGTTGTCTTTCTGATACCGTCTTTACCATAAGGGCACACGGGGCCCGTGCCCAGGGCCTCTATCGTCACGCTTACGCTATACAATCTTTTTTTCTATTTTAGGAAAATATAACGTAAATAGTAAATGAGGACGTTGTTAGTGACTTCCTGACAACCCTGAGCAGTGACAAGCCACACATTGCCGAGTTAGCCAGAAAAAGTGGCATTGACAAATCTCCTAGGTAGAAAATATGTAGTACCGCCTTTTGCCGCCATCTAAACGTTTTTGTCGTTCTGTATAGTCACCTTACTTATAGCCTGGATTTTTTTTAAATTTTCGGCAATCTATATATTTATAATCTATGAGATAGGAATGTAATTTCGTACTGATTAATAAAAATAACGCTGCAAAAGATTTAACGGCAAATGATCTATTTAATATGATAATTTTCAACCGCAAATAGTAGCTTTTATAGCAAATAATAGTCGTTACAATCCTTATTTTTAGAAAAGTGAAGCCTATATTTTAATGTAATAAATAAAAAGAATACACTTATTGATGTTGTTATAGTTGACATTTTCCTAAGAAATTATCGTCCTCGCTATGAAATCTGTGTAAAGTGGCGCCGCCCTGGTGGCAGAAAAAGTCATGGAAGCCTTCATTAATGACAATTGATTGATTTTAACCAATAAACTATATAAATATAAGATCATAGCATATATATATAGAGAAAGTAGTTTGTTCAGAATTGTTTACTGAATCGATTCCTATCATTTTTAATATAGGTAATTTTTATCCCAAATATTTATTCATATATAAATTACACTAAATCTGTACAAAACAAACTGAAATGGACCGTAACTTAAGGCAATAAGACTTTTAAGAGTGCAGTTTTATTTGTATTATTACTAATTCTGTCATTCAATAAAAATAAAGAAAAATGAACGTTATTTCAAGCACGTTAAAGATTTTGCGTTCGTGGATTTGTACTGTGACCACAACATTCTTCTGGAATTAGTATAACTAATTTGATAAATAATCAGTGCATAAAAATGTTTAACTAAAATTCAGTGTATGTATTATGATTATAACATAATATACTAATTGGGGTATCTGAGGGTGTGCGTTAATTACGTTACATATTGTATTTATAGGATATAGCATCAAAAAATGTTGAATAAAACTAAATTTACGGATTTTATCGCGTTTATTTTACTTATTTTTAATTCCCAACGTTTCGGGTGCTTTACAGCAACCATGGTCCCCCCCGTGACCATGGTTGCATGTGCCAAGGGCCGCGCGGTATATATATATATATATATATATATATATATATAGTCTAAGTTATATAAAATTATTATATATTATTTGCTTGCATGTTGTTTATCTAATGCTTACAGTCTATTTCTGGAATCCTCACGGATCGGGGAAGGTCAGTGGGGTTTCAGGAATTATTGATGCCATACGTTTAAGATTAAATACAGCAATTGCATGATACGTAATCCAATGCATGATGTAATATGTATACTTTAATCTGCATGTTCTGTTTTGTACAATTTGTTATACGACTTTAGTTTGTACTCAATATATGCTTGCAATAAATAATTGTACCAAGTTTTTGACTTTTCATTTATTACTAACTTATTGCTTATTCTTACATGTTAAATAAAATATGTGTTCAGATCACACGCGGTAGAAGTGAAACCTTCAGAAAACTAAACTTCGAGAGAATGCGGCGAATCGCAGAGTATCGGGAGTATGGTAATTGTGGGGTTTGTGTAATTAAAATATAAATAAAATTATAATTAAGACTGGATACCAATATTCTATCTCATTCTCTCGCAGGCTAAATCATATAGATGTATATTTTTGTCTCTTTTTAATGTCGATTTTTCGTTTCATCGAGTTTTATATTAGGTACAACGATTCTAAAGAAGTTTTCACTTCAAAAATGTTACCCCAGGGATAATTTTCCATATCGTGATAGCGTTTAACATACATGAATTACACATGGACAAATATTTGCACGAACTAGTTTATTTTAACTACTACACTAAACTACTCAACGAAAATGATGAGCTTTTGTATGTCAAACATTTGCACAAACCAGTTTATTTTAACGACTACAATAAACTACTCAAATAAAATGATGAGCTTTTGTATGTTTCCTTTTAATTGCTTTATTTGTTTGTTGACTGTTTGTTTTTTTATATCTTATTTTATAACATCTTTCTTTTTTTTACTAATTTACTGTTTGATATTGCTTCAGATATTATTAGGCTTTTAGAGATGCGTCAACCGGCATGTACTCGAAAGATCTGTTATTACACACGTTCGATATAGGCTTCGAAACCCCAGTCTGTGCTATTTATGCTAATATCTAGCAAACGTTGCGACAGACGCATGGAGGTTAGAGAACAGGAGATTGATCGCCGTAGAAAATAGTGTCCCAGAAATATGGACACCATAAGTGAGGCGCTGCGATGGCTAAGTTTGCTCAATAAAAGTCATTTTCGGTCTATTTTTCCGATCAGATGTTAAACCACACGCACATCCACGCACAAAAAAATTACGGAGCATGAAAATTTTCTCACAAAGGCCGCGAAGTAAATTTGTACATTATTTAACTAACTTCATTTACTTTTACTCATTAACAGCTAACTTCGCAGCCACTACTCATCGATGGCAGCGCCGCTATAAATTCTACAAATTTTCAAAGACAGGCGGTTAATAATTCCGTGGTTTCCTTCATCGCTTGTTATGCGATCACAGGTAGCTCACTTTAAAATGGCATAAGATTAAAAAATAAAGATTTCATTTCATTTCTACAGATAAGTTGGTGGCGCTGTGACTCAATGAATATTGTTATTTTGTCATAATCCGCGAGCGTTCAGAATAGGATGCGTTATTTTGGAATAGCACGAGCTGAAGTGTCGACAAACTCGCGTATATATATAATATATAGCTCACGAGACGATATGATATGGATTTTTACTCGTGCTTAACCTAATAATTATTTTTGTGATTTAACTTATTGTGTAGATTATTAATTATGAAAGAAGAGTAAAATTATGATATAAAAAGTTGGGTTATAGATTTATAAAATAGGTTTAAAAGAGAACTTAGTTAATTGAAAAACCAAATATTCCCATATATAAAATAACGACAAACATAAATAAAATTTGCGTATTTTCGTAATCTCTAGAAGTAAGTATGGGTGATGGTAAATGTAATATATAAATGTCAGATATTTAGCATTTATTTGCTAACTTTACTTCACTCTAGAACTGTCATTTCAATTTGACAAGGTTCCATCTTATTCTAGTCGCACGCGGATTATACTTGTTACAAATGTATGCTCTGTATTGACCTTACAGGAGACAGTACCTGCAGAACAGCTGCTTAATAATAAATTTATGACAAAGATGGAAGACTTGCTGTACGTGGAAGATGAAGAGGAGGATCTTAAATGAACCGTTTGTTGTTGTTCTAGTGTAAATGTGTGTACATAGCGTAGTATAGTGTAGTTGATACTAGAAGAATATACTTATGTTCACATTATTGGAGATTTGGAAGGCGGGAAAACTTATAATGGCGGTTGTTTATTGTGCGGTGTGAGTATAACGAGTTGGAAGTAACTTGAAAAACTGATGTTCTTGAAAAACTGAAGTTCCTGAAAAATAAGACAGGGAGAGAGAGAAAGAGAGAGAGAGAGAGAGGGAGAGGCATAAATAGATAGAAAGGAAGATATTTAGTTCTGTTTGTCTTTTTCGTGTGATTTCCTCCAGCGGATGTGTTGACTTTGAATATTTTAACATTGAATAAAGAAAAGCTTCAATAATAAAGGAGAAAATATGTTATTTGGTATATTGATGTACACAAACGTGCAATATATTTAAAATAGTTTTTATTTATGTTTGTATATTTCAAGTAATAAGCAGTGATCAAAGGTATATTGTACAAAAAACCTGTTGTTTAATGGAATTATTTATTTGATTTTTGGAATTGATTTTAAAAAATTAACACAAAAATATTCTTCATATATTTTTTATTATTTCTTAAGTTTTATTTTATTTAGTAATTTAAGATAGGTCTAGTAAAATTTTATGTTTTTTTAAAGAGATTTATTTCTATTACTTTTGTTACGTTCAGAAAAGAGTGACAAGCATTTAATTATTGTTTTATATTTTAAGAGCTGATCCCGGTAATGCAATGTATAAAATGAAATATTGATAACATTTTGTACGATAGTCTTTTCTGTGCTATAAAAATTTGATAATATGGATAGAAATAAAAATATATGGTTTTTGTTGTTTTATCCTGTTTCCTATTGCTATTAAGATATGAATATATGTTTGTAGACCTTAGAAAATATAATTTGAACTCAATAGATATAAATAACAAAGAGTCATATTATGTCAAAGTTTAAACTCTAAAATCAGTATAGTGGTTGACAGTTAACGGCTTGTTTTACCTTTAAAGATATAAGTATAAAAGTAAACAATTAATGTGTTTACATTAATTGTTTACTTTTTCATAATTTTACAAAGGGAATGGTACAACGAGCATTTTGTATATGAATATATTATTTTACAGTGGTCAGTAATAATTAAAAGTTTCTGTTTATACTATCTGTGCCAAAAATAATTCAGTAGATTTTTGTACGAACCAATCATTTAAATATTATAGCAATTCCGATCAATGTAGTTCAAATAATCTACATTGCTTTAATGCTTAACATTTTAATCTTATTACAACGATAAGCTTGTGTTTTGTAGCAGCGCGTGGGCGTACAACTATAGCGGTCACCACTGGATACTATAATTTACGATATACAAGAGCGTATGAGCGTGTGATTGTATTGTACGTTTAATACTAACGCAAACCCCCCCCCCCAACCCCCGCATCCCGTGCTTTCACGTTCAACACTTAGTTTCTACATCTAGGGCCCGGTTTACATTTTAGAAGTGACAAGTGCGAGCCGCAATGACAAGTGACAAATCCTTTTATCTTTAATCTCTGAAGTGCCTTATTGCAAAGATATTGGTGCACACCAATTTCCTAAAAACGCTAAAGTGAGAAAAATTTGCCTTAAACCTATAAGAGGGAAAAATTTAAGCTAAAAAATAATATGGCGGGAGTCTTTAATTTTTTTTCTTTTTTTTCTTGGTAATGTGGAAACCGGCCATTCCTATTGCTTGAGATATTGAGAGCATAGCAGCGTCTCGCATCATTTTATTTTTTAAATTCGGCGATTTAATATTGTATAACATTCATGTTTCAATAATTCCTGGACAAATTTAATGTTATTGCTATCTGACCACTTCGCCATTGTTAAAAACAATAGCGTAATAAACCAAAATTATTATATATGTATATATATATATATATATATATATATATATATATATATATATATATATATAATATATATATAACAAAAATATTTTATTTAATAACTATTATCACTAACACGTGTATGTTCTGACGTCGCAGCTAGAGCGGTTTGGCGGCGGTGGGCGAATGAGGGGAAAGCAAGGTTAGCGCGGGATGGAGATACTTGTCAGAGAATAGAGCAGGCTGTTATTCACTTAATACTTTTCATTTCACACTTGTCACTTGTCACTGCCTGTTCACACGCATTAAGCACTTGTCAATTTCCACTTGTCATTGTCACTCGCACTTGTCACTTCTCAAAATGTAAACCGGGCTTAGGACTTGTATGTAGTCTGTTGTAGCTGAGATCGCACCTTTATTCATATTAAGCTGCATTAACACAAAATTTCAGTTTTGTGGGAAATCGCATTTAAAGTTTGATGTTGAGATCGGCAACATCAAAAAAAAAAATGGATGGCCTTGGTCAGTTGCAAAATTAGATGTAACAAAGTATTGGAATGAGGTGGGAAATTATTATATTTTGATCAAGAATACACTCAATAGAGTATTTTAAAAAAGTTCCTATTTATTTCACTTTTTACTAAAATATGTAATCGAATAATTTTGATGCAAACGGAGTAATTGAAAATATAGCTGTTTTATTTTGAAAATATCTTGTTAGTATGTGAAATATTTAGATTCCTTTCAGTATTGAGATACAGGCATAAATAATTGTCGACGAAATATTCCTAATTATTACTTTCTTAACTTTAATTCATATAAATTTCACAGGTAGGTATTATTTTTAATAAAATAAAGAAATATTTTTATGTTTAAATGTTTTTATTATTTAAAAAGATAACATTATTTTAGTAACACTACTCTAATGATGTCTTAGTAAACAGTCTAAATACTTCAGTGTAGGTACCTTCTTAAATAATGAATACATACTTCAAAATATTGCCGTTAACACAATTATTAAGTAAAAAAATCTAATTAAACTTCAGAGGTATTTATAATTATCAAACAAACAAAAAAGTCTTTCAGGGTTCATAATTAAGTATAAATTGATTTGGTTTTCATATCACACTAAAAATCAAATATAGTGAGATCTGGTTTTAAAACTTAATATATAAATATTATACTTAAAGTAAATTATTATAAAACATTGCGTAAAAAGAAGGGATCTTTTTAAAGATAAATTGAAAATTGTCTCAATAACGGCTTAATAGTTAGGTATGTATTATATAGCAAAGCAACCGCAATGACGCATTTAACAATTTGCATTGTTTACTTTTTGTTTTATTTACCATTTGTGAATAATAAAGAAATACCCGAAACTACACTAGCACCCCGCGCCAAGCACCCCCGCAACGGCATTTGATGGATACTCGGGACGCAATACAACAGTGTCTCTACGACTCTAAGTGAAATCTACAAACCCTCATTGAGCCAATGTAATACCCTTAAGGCCGCTAGTACTGTAGGGTTAGGTGTTATGAGAAAAGAAATTGAATCCTTTGATATTAGTAGGTAGTAGAATACACCGAGGTGCTATGCAGTGTATGCAATGTACAATCCCAGTAATTTGCTGATAATAAGATCATTAGTGTTCAATCTGAGGAAGGTTAATATGCAACATCTAGAAAAAATAAAATTATAACAACGTGAACGTCTTTGAAACTTGGCGTCAGCTCGAACGCGCGAGTGACAACCTAACTGAATTAGCCTCTTGTAGAAGAGAGAGAGAGAAGCGTAGGTATATTTTCATGCCTAAAGCGTGAAGTGAGACAGGCCTGCTGGTATCGACTTGTTCGCGCAAAAAGAGAACGACCATCATCTCACTCTGTCATTTTCAGCGTTATCGTGATAATGTCATTAAAATAGTTGGCTGTTGGACTGTACCTATTCTCCTGACGAAGTTAATTAGGTATATGTTGAAAACAATTAGGCATATGTTGAAAACTCGAAAAACGTAAATTTTGAGTTAATTCAGTTTAAGAATAAAGGTGCGACATGGAAACTCAATAAATACTAGGTGCGTTAATGGTATTTAAAAATATTGCATGCCTAAAGCGCAAAGCGCTTCGTGATTTTTAGGCACTAGTAGGTATGTTCTACTAGCGCTTAAAAATCAAGAATCCAACGTTTTGTGAATGAATTCGTATCTAACAATCATATTGAACATGCAAATAATATAAAAAGCACATTGTCAGAAAGATAAATGATTGTTGAACTTATTATTTTTTTAAATCGATTAATTGATATTTTTACATTAAATAAGTGATTTTAGTGGCTTATGGTGTAGACATATCAAGTCCGCATGGAGGGGTAAACACGATAACTTTTGAAAATATCAATTTTCCAACCCAATCTATTTTTTAATTTTTTCATCTATCATGTGGGAAGCCATAGAATGTAAATGGCTGTTTAATTTTGTTTTGTTTAGTTATATTTTTTTCGGCTAAGAAATTCCGAAATTTCGTGTTTGAGCCGAAAAATAAATAAATACACTTTGACTCACTCCGGGCTCAGCCGCTGTCGTGAGTGGGTTACTGTATCGTTTGTTTACAGCGACTCGTAATAAAAAATATCGATCGCTCTAGAAATACAAAATATTCCAAAAACCAAATTTGATACATAATTGATCAAGATAAGATATTATTATTATTTTCAAAATCACAGATTTTCATTACAATATATTTCTTCGCTAAAAGTACATAGGATGTATACTTATATAAAGTATACTTTTACGTCTTGGACTTTATGGAGTGACCTGAATGTGTAATTCGGTATCTGCTACTGGAACTACTCGAAGAGTAGAAACTAAGTGTGCCGAGTTTGGCTTCGTTTTGTTAGTTATGAAAAAAAAGTTATTGACGAGTCAGGTAAAAAATTATGAACCATAATAAAAAAAGGATTGAATCTCAATGATAATAACACAGTAAAATAAAAAAAAAACTATTGGTGATTGAGAATTTTTATCTACATTTTTTCACGATTATATGAGCACGTATGAGTGCACGACTCATACGTGCACTTTTGGATTTTACACTTTTTTTTATTGACGTTTGACTTAAAATTATCGGAAAATTAG